CACCTCCGCCGCAGTGGCGGTCGCCTCAATCCTCCGATCACGCGCCTTACCCTTCTCCTCATTTTCCTGTGCACCAGCCTTCGCCTTATCCTGCCCAACCTCACTACCCACCTTCGCATCCGCTTCCGCCAAGACCGCTTCACGCTCCGCTGTCTTACTCTCAGGTATTTGTTTAAATTAGCTTTGGAAAACTAGGTCTAGGATCATTGATTTTCCCAGCGCTCGAATCTTTGGATTTATAGAGTTGAGTTTGCTCTGTGATTGAGCTAGGTCTTGGGTGATCTGCCTTTTTTCAAGTGAAATAATTAGCTTAATGGAAACTGAATGATTGCTTAGTACCATAGCTTCAATTTTTGTGTAATTTGCGTAGTTTTGTGTGGTATTGCTGGTATGACGGAGGGTTACTTAATTGATTGAAGACGGAATAATATTGAGATTTGTTGTATTGGATTCCTTCTATATGCTGATCAAGATTTTTCTTGTTTCTTTTCCGTAACCTATGTTGGTTGGGTCAGTAGGCTATTGTGTAAATCCATCTTAAATTAAGAATTGGTCAATGCAACATTTGTCAAATCTAATTTCGAGAAGCCATTAATCATGCTAAATATGCACTAATATATAAGTTTCTGCATTGATCTGATTAAGGAACGGTTTGCTAGTGATAGGAGAAATTCTGTGGTAGCAATAATGTATTGAATAAAGCGTCCTCTTGAAGGTCATTGTAGTGTTATATATTTGAAAATGCTAATCAAGGTTGTCAATAAATAGTTTTTTCAGGCCTATTCTATGAGCAGAATCAACCTCCTATAGACCTTTGCAAACATCATCACTGTTATGCTTAGAATTTAATTAATTTCAACGTGTCTCTAGAACTGTCCTGGCTATTTGGTGTTATCAGTTTTCCATGCACATTCTTCTAGGAAATATATGAAATTTTGACTTGGTGGAATTTTCTGTTGTAGGATTGGGGAAGCAGCTGGACTCCGCAACAGAATTGGCAGTACCAAAGTTAGTACATGAGAATCTTGCTGTTTGGACATCCTTAGTCTTTCAAAATTTTATGCTTATATTAATCACTCTTGTTTTCTTCTCTTCATTTGTGATGTCATATAAGGTTGTGCTATTTATCATATGAGTTGAATGTTCCATGTTAAATCCTTTAGGGACCATGCCGTTCACTCAGTGGAAAAGTATAGATACAATGGCGTAAATGTTGCAGCTTTATGCACTGTCGTTGACAGTTTGTTGATAGCATAGTTCACTTTCTTAAGTCATTTGGAAAATTCAATCTGTCATAATATGCAATTACATCTTTTCCATTAGTTTTTGAGGACATGATCTGACTAGTGTGACAAGGCAATCTTGGATCTCCCTTCGGTCATCTTAACCACTGTTAGGATCGTTTGAACTGTGAATTTGTGGATACAAAATGTTTACTGAGTGAAGGAATAATGATTAATGTTTTTTTCTGTGGACCCTTACGTAATGTCTTGTGTGTCATGGTAAATTGTTGCAGCTTCTTGAGTCAGCCTTCATATATCATTAGAAGTATAGAACACTAATGATTCAAATGGTGTATATTTTCTTTGACAATGTAGTGCTGTTCCATAAACTGATCCTTCTTTCCTTCATTCCTATTTTTCCCTTGTTGTAACCAAAAGCCCCTTTATACCAGGCAAATTAAATGCATTCCTTTTGGCAGAAACACCTGGTGTATAAACTTTAGATGAAGAGAAATATAGTTGGTACGGCAGTTTCCAGGAAATGCTATTTAAATTACTAAAAAGCTAGTGAACATTTTGCGTACACTATTTTTTCACCTTTTTTGTAGTCGTTTTTCTGTTATTGAGATTAGATCTCTGTAAGAGAAAGAAGATTATAACAACAATAAGAAAGTTACTTGAAGTCTTTTGATTTTGCATACTTGCAACCCTTTCCCTTCTGAATTTTTTTACGTTAGCTGGCCAATAGGGTGGGTTTGTAGACACTGCTTCTTAACAAAATAAATCGTGATTTTCGGAATTTTCATTGATTAATTGTTATGTCAGAATGTTGCTAATTTGGGTACTTGAGTTACTACCATTGTGGGTCGTTTTTTGTGTCAGCTACAGAAATCACTTATTCTAGGAGTGCCTGATCAACCTTTCTTGGTTTAAAAGTCTGAATGAGTGTTCATATCTTTTTTAAGTGTTCTTTGCTGTCATTCCCTGCAAAATTTGTATGAGATACTGGCCGTCATATTATTTTTGAACACTCATTCAGTTAAGAGATAGCTTGTTTTTTAAAAATCTAACAATTATGTGCAAAATTGTTATGTCATATTAGTCTTGAACACTCTTTCAGTTGAGAGATAGCTTATTTTTTAATAAATCTAACAATTTTGTGCAAGATTGTTCTGCCAGCTGCTAGACATATGATTAAATTCTGTCAGCTGTTCGACTTATGATGCTTGGAATTCTGATTGAGAATGAATGTTTAATACCATTTTGGTTTTGTATCAACAGCAAATAACAATGAGGAAGATTGGGGAGCGAAAGCTAAAGCATGGCTTGCTGCGAAAGCTGCCACAGAAAATCAGAACCCTTCTCCGCAATTTGTAACAGGCGGAGGAACAGAAGAGAAGTATCAGAACCGTGAGCAATATTCACAACGCAGTGACCCTCAAACACAGTTCGCTTCCGCATCAAACTATCAACAGTACCCAGGTGCAGTGGGATCCACAAACCATACAGGTCTCTGTCAGTTGCAAGAGTCCCAAGATGCCAGTTCTGGACAATCTTCTTATGGTGCAGATATGCATGTGGCTTCTGCTGCTAGAGATGGAAGCCATGCTGGAGATTCAATTACTCCTATAAATCCATTAGTCCATCAGCAGGAGGTACCTTCTAGTTATTCTTCTGTTGCAGGTAAAACCTTAATTGGATGTTATTGCATTTGAATCCTCCGCCCAAAACATTGTTTCTGTTATCTGTAATTAAGATTCAGTGTGTGAGATATGGCTTCTGCAGTAACGACCTAGATATAAATAAGGTAAAAGAGTTGAAGGCATTGCTCAGTTGGGGGTTATTGTGTGGTTATGGGGCATTTTTCAAATAGCATTTTAGGTATACAACATAGAACTTCATAATCAATCAAAATGGTTGCATAATTTGGGCTAGGAGATTCATAGTAGGGATGGTCCATTATCAAGTCAGTACCATACTGATATTGTAACATAATTATCAGGTATAGAAGCTTTTGAGTTTGAAGTTAAAGTAATTTACTATTAATTGTGGACATGGAAAATTATTGTTTATTTTCATGATCAGGTCTAAATTTTATTTAGGAAGGGCTGGGGTGTATTAAGAAGAAAATCGTCTTGACTCCTGTCTTTTATTGCAGGCAATGAAGAGGTTGGAGATAGATATGAAAAGTTCAATAGCTCTTCATCTCTGCCTGTTGCCCTTCTTCCTCAACATGTGCAGCTGCAGCCACCTGGACGAGATGGATGGATGGAGGAACCTCGTACATTTGGCCACGTTCCAGCTGAGTCCCCATCAACTCTGAGAGATCAACCCTTAAATTTTGCCCCTCAGTTTACACGTAACCTGAACCCACATGCACAACCCAATTATAATTATTCTTCAGGAGCTGTAAGAGGTGGGGAGGCTATATCTTCAAACTATGCATGGCCATCTTCTACGGCACCAGGAGCTGCTTATCCCCTGGTGCCTCCATCAAACCCATCAGTTGCACAGGTTACCTGCCTATTCTTTTATTCTATGTTTTTGTTTATCTTTGTTGTGTTATGTATTGTGACTCCTCTTATATCTCATAGGTTGACCATCCGATAGCTATGCCTTCTCCAGCTCCTGGACATCCTGCTCCTATGTTTCCTACTGGGCCTACTTTCCAGCCAACAATTCCTATGATAGGAGCTGCTTTTGGTGGAGTGGGAGTAGCACCTTCTCCTACAGCTTTTCCCGTAGATGCACATGGTGTTTCTGAGCGCCCTAAGAAGGTGGGAGATCTTTTAGTGCTAGCTTTGTCTTGGTAACTTCGTCAGTCATATGGAAGTGATTCTTTGAATTGTAGGCATCAGTACCTAATTGGCTTAGGGAGGAAATAATTAAGAACAAAGCTGTTATCACAAGTTCTGTCCCAGAGATTCCCAAAGACGACTCCCAGTCCATTGAAGAAGATAGTATTGGCAAGTCTTCTAGGAAAGGATATCAAGGGGATAGCAAAAGCATTGATTCTTCTAGGTCAACTGAAGATGAGGACGAGGATGAGGTGACTCTCTCTCGCTCTCTCTCTCTCTCTCTCTCTCGCACACACACACACACAAACACACACACACACACACATAGTTACACACACAGATACATCAACACATACAGACGTCCCGCAACTCATCCGATCACTCTCCGTTGCTCCACCCATCGCCACCGCAAAACCACCAGACGCAACGTTCCTCCGACGTCTGCCACAGCCTCGCCAATCACCGCCGCTCAGCCGCTCGTCACAGACCCACCGCAACATTGTTGCCGGTCACGTCTCCATCCCGACAAGCGAAGATTCATCGTGACGCCGTCATCGTCGTCCACTCCTCACACCCTCAGTCCGACATCTGCAGCAACCCTGCTGCCTCGACCTATGCCGCCGTCGCCTCGACATTTGCCGCAACACTGCTTTCTCGACCTATGACGTCGTCGTAGCGACATCCGCCGCCTCCTGCAGCTCGAGCCACGCCCTCTTCGAAGATCTGAAATTGAACTGTGGGCTTAAGCTTTTTTGTTGAGAATTAGATTAAATCTAGGGACATATTTGTAATTTTAATAATTTAATTATATCTCAATCTAACCCTATGAGTTAAATCTGTAAATATTGTAAGTTAATAAAAATAATTTTTTATATATTTTGTTATGCATATATATTGAATAACAAATAAATTATTAAATAAAATAATATAAAATATTAAAATAATTTATAATAATAAATAAATTATATAATAAATAAAAATATATTTAAATTATTTTGGTTAATTAGATGTAAAATAATATCTATTAAAACTAGTTTTCGGATACACATGGGAAAATATAAATTAGTGCACTTTATAAAACAACACGTTGCACCTTATAACACAACACGTTCCACGTATTAAAATTACAGTAATTCTATTGATCGATCGAATAATATTAGTTAGTTAATGTCGGATTTAGTTATTTTTAAATAAACAAAATAACCAAAAATGTCGAACTATATGAAAAATATTACCAATTTCTTTTTATTTATTTATATGTTTTTATTATAAATGATACAATTTTTTTATATATATTTTTATGTATTACGAATGCACATTAGGGTTATACGGATTATACATAAATGTTTATCAGATTGCACAAAATTGAACGATATCCGACGAACAAAAATTCGGTACGAATTTTTATATTTTGGTTCTATTATTATTATTTTTTTATATATCGAGAATTTTGGTACGATGTCATTTTTTATTTAAATAACTGAAATAAAAACCAAATTGTATTAAAAAAATTGTTTTGTATATTTTTTTATACAATAGCTACCGATTCGAAATTTTATATTATTAACAATTATCTATTTTTACTTTTAATTTTAAAACACTGACTACAATATTATAAATATACATAATAAGTTAATTAAGTTATTTCCACTAAATCGAATAATTGGCCGNTTTATGATCAAATCCATGCACATTATTGCTATGCAAATAGCACATAAAAGTATCACATGCTACACATTAGCAATCGAAGCTGTCCGAAATAATATTTTTCATTCGAAACTTTATATGTTTGTTCAAATATAATTTTCAAACTAGTATTCGATCTTGTGCATTTGCACAGATATAAATAAAATAATATAAGTTATTTATATTCATATAATATTAAAATTATAAGTTAGAGAATAATATTAAATTTTAAACATAGAGTATTATAAGTTATATTTATGCATATAATATTAAAAAAATTTAATATATTGCATGACCATTTTGGAGGAGGGTTTATTTCATAGGATTTAATTTTTCAAAATATTTGATGTATCTTTGTAGTATCCGAAAAAATATATTTTTTATTATTGTATGACTGCAATAGAAAATAGACTTATTTGTAGTCATTCTTAATTAGTTATGAAATATGTATTTATATAATACCAAAATATATATAGTATCAAAATAAAAACAAAAATATTTTGTATTTCAAGACATAAAAAGGCGTTACTGAGATGGACACCATCCAAAGTGGGACATGTCAAAATAAATTATGTAACTGAAAGTTACATATTTTAATTAAATATGGTGAACATATTATTATTAAATAAACACCTGTTTTTATTAAATGAACTACTATTATTAATTTGTAGCTGAATAAAATTTATTGTAGTTTGCCAGAAATTTTATATATATAGATTTTAAAGTTCATTTATTTGGGTTCAATGTCGGCTTTAGATTTAAAAAGTTACTTATCACTATCTTTATATTTATTAAATTATTAGTAACTTAGTTTATGAAATTATCAATAATTTAGTATAAATAGTTATCTCATCAATTAATTTATGTTATAATTAAAGTTTAAAAAAATAACATAATAATCCCTAACATTAATCTAATTTCTATAAACTAGCCCCTAAATCAATCCACACCAAAATCACACAAAATTACATTTCACCTACATCATTCACACAGCCAATTCACCAAATTCTTTCAAAGAAATCAGCCAAGTATATTACGCCTAAATCAAAATTCAGATGTATCACGATGCAATTCCTTAGCCCTAATAGCATTTCTGGCCGCCGATTCCCATCTCTCGTTCAGGTCGCCAGCGAGCTTATCCCGTTCAGGTCGCCATCCCTCTACTATCCCTCTGCAACTCGCCGAAACATCGACCCTCGCCGTCAGTACAATTGGGGCGCTCGATGGGCGGGCTGAGCGAGTTTGAGACAGGGGCAGGCGACGGTGGTGGCGGTGCTGGGATCTGATGGCGCTCGACGGGATGTTAGCGGCGACAACATATTGGGCATCGACGGGACAGATTAGACAAATGGCAGTGACCGGTGGTTTGTGGTGGGTTGATTCCGGCGTGTCCAGGAGGACGGGAGAGGGAGAGCCCTGTTGGGAATGGTTGACGACACTCGACGGGATGGTAGCGGCGGCAACGGCGACAGTCCGGTGGCGGTGGCGGTGACCGGTGGTTTGTGGGCTAATTTATGTCGGGCCCACTGGAGAGAGAGTGTGTGTGTGTGTGTGTGAAAGTGTATCTGTATGAGCGGGAGAAATGTGAAGAAAAAAGAAAGTGTGGGTCCATGTGGTATAGGTGTAATTACCAACTTACCCTGAATTATTGGTCAAATGCACATATTTGACCACAATAGTTCAAATAATTACCAGATTGTTATTAATGATTGACCATTATTTATGAAAGTTTGATTTCATCATGACCATTGACTTGATGGATCCAATGGTGTAGATTCATTCTTATTTCATTCACTATCTCCCTTTCTCATATGATCCCTTCAATATATATATATATATCCACTGACACTACAAGAAACTGATGAAATTCCAACGAAAATATACTCCAATAGAATATTCCAATGGCAATTCCAATGGATATTTCAATGTTATTATTTCCGTTGGAATTTTTTCAATTCCAACGAAAATTCAAACAAAAATATTCTGTTGGAATGAGTTTTCCATTGAAATTTCCATTGAATTTTGACGATTCCAACGATAGATGTTCAAACAGGGGTGGAAATAAAAATTCCAATCGAGATTGCATATTCCAACATAAATTACTACAGTAAAAAACCGTTTGAAAATATAACCGTTGGAATCATCAAACTCCATATAAAATTTCAATGAAAAACACATTCCAACAGACTATTATCGTTGGAATTTTCGTTGGAATCATTCTAACGGAAACTATACCATTGGAATATTCGTTAGAATTTCCATTGAAATATATTACCATAGTATTTTCCGTTGGAATATAACAATTTTTTTATAGTGAGACATACATGTTTTATTTGATTTATTCATGTTCGTTAGTTTTTTTATCCACTTTCTTTTCTGATTTCCACATAAATTCAGTTATTTCGATTGGTTAACGATGATACTTATAATCCTAAAACCCTCATATCTCTCTAACCATTTCTCTCTCAAAAAACAAAAACCAGATCTAGTCTTTCCGCCGTCCCCCCTTCTCCGTTGGCGAGTTGCTGCGGCCGTCCAGCCTGCCTGACCGAGGCGCGACTGGTTCTAATNTTGACGGGAGACCCAGTCGGCGGCGGCTCTCGCCGTTCTGTGTCCACAGCCGCAGAGGGGGCACCGCCGCCGCTTTCTGGATCCAGCCGTAGGGGTTGCCGCTCTGCCAGAGTCAGACTCGTGCACTGTCACTGCGATGCCTGTAGAAAGGGCATGGATGCCCGGCTATGGTCAGAATTTCTCCAAGTAGGCCGCAGCCCGCTTATCCGCTGTGTGGCCGGGCTGCTGGTGCTCTTCCGTGTGCAGCCTTGGGTGGTCCTTCATCTGGTCTTGTTTTCGAGCCCTCCGGTGTGTTCGTGGCGACTTCTCCTTTCTTCGCTGAAGCTGAAGTCTTTCGGAGCCCTGATCTGGAGCGAGAACGACCTCCTCGCCGTATCTATCTAGGCGGTTGTCCGCAGTTTTTTGGTTCGGGCTTTAGATTTGTGGCTTTGTTGTGCCTTTAGCTGCAGTGTGGGGCCTCGGGGGTCGGTTAGGTAGTCGTTTAGCTCACCTGATTGGATAGGAGAGGTCTTATTTTATTTGTTTATTAGGTGTGAGTTGTATTTTGTTTTTATTTTGTTGTTTTGTTTTGTTTAATGCAGTTGTGTCTGCTTTGACTGCAGCTGTGCCTGCTTTTCTCTCCTTTATGGAGTTTGTGTTTTTGTTTTTGTGTTGTGGTTATTCGTCTCCTTGATGGAGTTTGTACCCCCTTGTGTGTGATAACAAAGGGGTTTGGTCGAGTCTTCTGGTTTCAGTGTGTCATTTGACACTTCGGGTGCACTCTTTCTAGTTTTTAAGTTATTAACAATGTTATCAAAACCGAACCGGTCATCGAACCGGTGAAGCTACTGGTTCAATGGTTCACTGGTCGGACCAGTGGTCGAACCGGTTTAACTAATATACAATTTACTTATTTATTTTATATGTATAGTATATAATTATATATATATATATACTTTTTATCATTAATTTTATAGCATATAATGATATTTTTCTAAATAAGAGTTGATAAATCAATATTTTAAGTATAGTTTACCATAAGCAATACTAAATTAAATTCACTAAAACAATAGATTAATAATTCAATATCTAAAGCAAGGTAATCCAAATTACAAATACAAACTACAAAGTCATCAAACATCAAAATATATCTAATCTAACATTACAATTCATCAAACATCAAAATACTCTCTCACTCTTTTTCTTTTGTTTGATTTTTTTTTTTTTTATTTCATTAAGATCATTTTTTTCAAATTTCAAAACCGGTTCGACCAGTCGAACCGGTACCGGTTCACCGGTTTTACCGGTTTTGAACCGGTTCGAACGGTTCGAAACCGGTTCTTGTTCCCAGCGGTTTAAACACTCAAACCGGACCGGTACTAGGTCCGGTTCCCGGTCGAACCGGCCGGTCCGGTCCGGTTTTGATAACATTGGTTATTAATATAATTAACGTTAGGAAAAAAATAAAAAACCAAGATACTTATAAATTGGATTGCAGTAATGTTATTGATGATCACCGTAATGACAAATCCTAGTTTACACACANATAAACCCAAGTTTTCTTCACTTGAGAAACTCCACATACACTAACTTATATGCACCCCTACCTCATCCACAATAAACTCTCTCTCTCACACACACACACACACACACACAATTATCATCTTCTAATACACACACATGCGCACGAATTAACTATTCACATGCATGTCTATTGTACCACTAAAAAAAAATCCTGGAAAGAAGGTTTCACAAGAAGTAAAAACCAACCAATAAGACCAAAAACACCACCAAATAAAACCTCATTTTTTTTCATCACGGACAATTGACGTTCCTCCCGGGCCCACCATAGTAGAAAAAGTTACCCCACCCACCATTGTTGCCGAGCTGCACATTGTAGCAGCTCGACTGCTCGGTGAAAATACCAATGTCCTTCGGTGCCCTCAAATTGTTAGAGCTATCGACGACCTGAATATTCCTCACGTAACTCGCCTTACCAAAGCCCTCCTCAGAGAAATGGCCACTCCCCATTTGAGTGGTCGTGTGCTGACCGTCCGATTGGGAATTTACGACTTCACCTCCCCACTCGACCATTGATGCACTTTCGGACAAGTAAGAGAACAATAATCCCGGCCAATATCCTAACACGTGATTGTTCCCGAATTGCATCCACCAATTTCCTTCTTTCGGGTCCTATAATATAATTAAGTGCCCATGATTATGCAAAAATGGACATGAAATAGAGCTTAGTTAATGCATGAATGGAATTAATGTGTTAGCGTGTGATTTCTATCATTGCCTCATGTGTAGAGAAAAAAAAAACATTAACAAATGAAAATGACCAAGGGTGAAAGTGGTAATTAATGTTAATTGAAAAGGTGCCCATAAAGCCTTTTGCTTAGTTACAAAAAATATGCATATATTATATTGTTAAGAATATTATCTTGATACATGATTATGTCTTGAGAAAGATTACCATCATGAGAATTATTACTAAGATAATAAAAATTTGAGGGATATATTTGTAAATTTTGAGGAAACCCAAGGTAGTATATGCAATGCATCCTTCACCCCCTAAATAAGCAGTGTAATTTGTTAATTAAAAAAAAAATGAAAAAGAAACACATGGGAAGTCCATTTGTAATTTATGAACTTAGGGCCTTAGGGGGTTCTTTTTTTTTTCAAAAAAAAAGAAAAAAAAGATTAACAAAACTGAAACTAGCGGTGGGCATTTGTCACTACATATCCCGAAAATCCATTCATATCTCTATCTCTTGTATTATTTGCTCCTCAAACTGTACTTTTTATCTCAAAGAAAGAATCTATATTTGAAAATGCGTGCCAGCCTAAATGTGTTGAAAAATACATGTTGCAAAACATAATGGACAATTTGGTCAGATTCCATGCACCACAATAGTATAATGTATCCAAGATTTGGAATGAAACTCATTTGTCTGTAGCTTAGTATTGTATTCACTAACAGCCACAAGTTTGAAGATTTGTATATATGCTGATAACATGAAAAGAAAATTAAAAAAAAAAAAATGTATTTTGGAGAAATGAAAATTAACCTTCCAGACAAGAATGCTGATGTCATATTGGGAACTACCATAGCTAGAAATGGGGTAGATGCTGGCCCCCATTGCTATTTCATTATTGATTTGGACAAAGCCTGAGCACAGCAAGTTGTAACAGCCCGTGGCCTGATAGGCATCACTCTGCAAAATTTAAAATTTTAAAAAATTTGTTTATCAAACCCCTGATGTTTGGCCCAATTATGATATAGCCCTCTGATATCCAGCAATTACAATTAAAAAGCACACTGGAGCTTTTGTCTATGTATTAAGTTTATGTTTAACTTTCTTCAAATGCAAAATGCTCTTGAAACGCATTCACAAAGAATTACAGCTGCCCTCACCTCCAGGTAGAAAGAAATATTAAGAAGATTTTTTTTTATTCAGAAATTTCCCTTTTTATTTTGTTGTAGTGATGGATCCAAACCTCAAATAATTTTTCAGTTGTTCCAAAATTATAATATTAATAAAAAAAATGGTTGTCATGACTTACAGTCCAGTATGTGAAGAGTCTTGTGTTGTTATCACCATATAAATCTGGGCTAACCTGTTTTCCCATAAAAAAATTTAACATGGTTAAATAAAAGTTGGATGAGAAAGAATGACACAAAAAAGTCAAAAAAGAGAGTCAGGAAAAAATAATAGAAATAAAAAGTAAGTAACCTGCCAGCCAGCTTCAATGCTATTGAGATCTGAAGCAAAAGAACCTCCAAGAATCCAGAGCTGGGACAAGCTGAACTCATTTGACTGTTGAATTTTAGGATTCCACACATTTATGGTTGCCTTTGCTCCATAATATGCATCTCCTTCAACATAGGCTATGGCATGCTAAACATCTCCAATATTTAAAAGAACATTAATAAATAGAAGCACAGATTCACTTAAATAACATGAAAAAGCATTTAATATCCTTCCCAAATGGGACTAGCCAAAAAAAGGTTTAATTTTGCTCCCACCCTTTTTCAATTCAAGCTATTTTCCAACATTTTAAGCATTGGTATTCACAAAAGATGAATTTGAATATTTGACACCAAGAAGATGAATTCCACTTCACATCTGGGAATAAAAGAATTTATTAAATTGAAGGGTGTTGTAAGTTAACTCAATCAATGCTCTAAAACACACTTTGCAGAATAGCCGATTGAACTACCNATGCCCATTTTGGTTTACAAGATCAGGCTCAGGGGCATCAAATGTTGGTCTAGGCATGCTTTTTTTATTTTTCTTCCCATATTTCTTGATGGAGCTTGCTCTAAACAAATCCTCTTTTTTGGTTCTTCTCATGGGAATTGTACCCTCTGGGCATCTTCCATTTGTGTGCCACAACTGAGCCATTGGCTTTGGCCCAACTTCATTTTTGCTCTCAGTGAGTAACTTTTCTGGGTGATAACTAGGCCTCATCTGCAAGAATTCATTTCTTTTTTGTTCATTTATGAACAAAAGAACACATCCAGAGTAAAAATGAGTTATTACCTGAATTGTGTGGTTTTGAAGGATGGGATGATCAAAAGCTGGCTGGTGAGAAATATGGACACAATCAATGATATCACCATCTGGGCTCTACTTTTTTTTGCACAAAAAAGCAGCACAAAATCGACATGTCAGTTTTATTTTCGTTTTCCGATTTACTCATATTTTTTTTTTTTAAATCTTACACACAGAATGACAAAAAAATTAAAGACACCTTGATGGACTTGACAGACGGCTTGTTCAGACGGCTGAAGTGCCTCTTAACTTCAAGACTCCGGCGAGCCGCCGCTGAAGCTCCGTACAACGGCGCCATTAGCAGAAAAACAAACACAAAAAACGCTTTCGCCTTCATATCCATTAACGCCGCTGCTCAAAGCGCTAGACCCTCCGAGAAGGAGACACGCTTTCAGGAATAATAAATAAATAACCTGAGCTGCGATTATTATGCAGTCACAGTATCGGCCAACCCAACCATGAGAATTTTTGAAATTACGAAGTTCGGAATTTTCTCTGGTTATCCTTATGCAGGGCCCATTTTGGAAGTGGAAAATACTTTTTCTTAATATAATATAAAACGAGTGGAGTTCTTATTGAAGATGAAAATTTTGTTGAGTTGGGGAAAAATCCAACAAAACTAAACTTGCCGACGCTGTTAGTAAGTTCGTTTGTTTTTGTTTTTATATTTTAATTTTTTTTTCTATTTAACTCGTGAAGGTGAGGCTACCCCACGATCCGTCGTCGTTTTGTTCTGTTTTCTTTCACCTTTTTAACAGAGTTTGATTCGGCCGTCGCCTCAGCTTCCACTCTCACTGTTGGTAGTGCTGTGGACATGTGATTTTGGGTGGGCAGAGGTTCTCATTATCGTTCTACATTCCAACCGTCCGATCATAAACAGTTAATGATCATGCGATGCGCGTCAAGATTTCTGAGATAAAGTCTATATACATAGTTAAGAGCACATTAATAAGATTATAGTAAACCGTTGAGGGCACCGTCCTTACCGGATTTTTTTGGATAATAATAAAAATTCTAATAACATAAGTGTTATTAGATTTTAGTGCAATTAGATTTTAGTGCAAAATGAACTATTCCACTTACACGTGGCCATGGGCCAACCCAATCGGCCCCTAGTTGATGGGTCTCGAACTAAGCTCGTAGTTTGGCCGAGTAATTCCAGAACATCTATATATGAATTTTTTAATTGTTGGGCCGGTTTCAGGTCACATATATAAACTTTTGAACTGTCGGGTCGGGTCAGGGTCGGCCTGCAATTGGCCCTGGAGAAGGCCCGTCATTTTTTTATTATTTTGGTCGGGACGGGCCGGACTAGAGTTGCTAATAATATTGGCGGCTCGGCGGACTAGATTGAATTTGGGTCGCTGAAGTATTTTTTCAATTGGACTTATATATATATATATATATAGGGGCTGGTTCAAATAAAAACTATGTCTGGTGTGAGAACCGTGAGAACCATATTTGATGCTATTTTTAATTGTGTATGATGCTATTTTTAATATTACATGGTGCTATCATTTTCATAAATGCTAATAAAAATTTTGTTGCTATTTTTAATCAAATACATCCTAGTTAAAAATAGCACTAAAACACAATTAATCATAGCACTACATACAATTAAAAATAGCGGTTCTCACACTAGGACTTAGTTCTCATTTGAACCACATCCTATATATATATATATATATATATTCCAAATTCTACACTCATTAAGTGCATTATGGACAATTAGAGCATCTCCAATGGACTATTAATTGTGGGATTGTAGAAGTGGTACGATAAAAAAACTTCTCCAGCAGTCTTTTTTGTACTTCTATTGGTGGTGATGTGGCATGAGAGAGACAAAATAATTCTAGAAGTCTTTCTACATGTGAAAGTACTTCTAGATTTGATGACTCTCATTTTTTTCCTTTGTTTATTTTTTTTATCCTTAATTAAAATATATAATTAGGTTAAGAAAAAGGCTTAAACATATATTTCCGACTTGTTGTACATGCTCCCCTGTCATTCTATCAAACACTGCCGTGGCCATTCTATCAATATACATACATTTCTTCATGCCAAAAGTGATGCTCAGTTAACTCATTAATCAATATACATATTTTAATTGTTTTGGTTAATATTATTTATTTAAGGCCCTCATTAATATGTTGTATTTGTGGGATTCTTGTATATATGAATCTAAAACATGTATCTAGTATTTACTAAAATACTATCTAAATTTGAAGAAAATATTTAATTTAAAATCGAAGTCATCGAGTAAGTTATAGTTTATAGGTATTTATGTGTACACACTTTATCAAAATAACAAATTAATGTACATAAAGAAAAATAAAAGAAAAAATCGATATACTTCTAAAGCTGTAAGCTATATTATAAATTTGATGGTACAAATGATATGTAAATTTAACATATATATTTTGTTAAAATCATATCTGATATAAAAAAACTTGATGAATATCAATTAGGTTGTGGGTGGTACCTCAAAAAATACATACAGGGCGATTGATTACAAGAATAATTTATAGAGCCTAGGTTTTTTTGCTGGTTCAAAGTTTGTTAAAGTTTGTTGCAACAGTAAAAAGAAAAGCGATAAAAAATCGTGTATTACAAGAATAACTTATATAGCCTAGGTTTTTTCCTGGTTCAAGTTAAAGTTTGTGATTTTTGGTTCACAGTATGTGTGCAAGTGTTTTGGCTTTTTTAGAACAAAAAAAACACGTGTATCATTTACAATCTGTAGACATCTACCACTGGAGAGTTAATATCAACATAACATTCTATTCCTTCCACGTGGATTAGAAGGCCGTCTGTTCAATTGTCAATCCACTCCCTATTGGAGATGCTCTTACTTACACAACAACCATCAAACACATCAGTAGGCCCCACACCAATTAAACATCCCACCAACTAAACTAGATTTCACGCGACTCACGTCTCCTTCGGTCTCTCTCTTGCACGCACTACACACAAAATTTACACACATTCATACCACGTCGAGCGTCATCTTCCTTAACTGCCGCCGTCGTCTTCCATCAACCATCGCCGTCTGTCTCTTGACCGCCTTCCCTTCAGCCACGCCGGATATCAATGCCACAGAGACGCGACTCAACACGACGACGCCGCTTCTGGCCACTCAGACCTGCGCGGCCAAGGGCAGCTTGTCGTCTATCGTGAACTCTCCGGCCGCCGAGGTGAATTCGCCATGTGTTAGTTGGCTAGTGCCATCTACCGCTGCCGCTGGGCGGACGCACATAAGAAGAAAAAGAAAAAAAGGTTAACGATGGTTTGAGCATTCACGAGAGGTCACCGGCGCGAAGCAGCCGAACACAGGACGATCGCCGGTGACGGAACGGTCGAGAAACATATTTGGGCTGAGGACTCGTTTTTGAAATTTGATAATTTCAAAAACTGATTTGCAAATTGTAAAAGTTTTAGTCAATTTCAATTAAACCTCTGGGGGTCAATCTGTCAATTCAAAAAACTTTAACTATATTTTAATTTAGCCCATGAGCAAAATATGTAATTTACATAAATATATAAAAACACATTATTTTATATGTATTTTTTTAATACCTATGTATATTATTATTATAAACCAAAAATAATATAAAATAGATTATAAAAATATTAAAATATTAATTTTTTTATATAAATAATAATATATTTCGATTATTTAAGTTAATTCAATTAAACAACAAATAAAAAAAAATTCTCGCAGTACATAATTCATAGTATTACCAGTCGTGTTGCACATTAGTAAAAGTCAGACTACACAATATTATCAGGTCAAATGCACAATAGTTGGAAATGCACATTGGAATGTTGCAAATATATATATAGGGTCGCGCTCACATGAGAATGGTGCTTAGTGAAGGAAATGAAAATAAATTGTAGCCATTAGATCATCCGATCTAATGGCTAATAAAAAAGTCAAATTTATACCTCATTAAGGGTATTTTAGTCATTGCATTACACATCATCCTCCACATCATCATGCCACATCAACTCCCCATACACCTAACACACACACAACACACGCACACACACACAGCACACAACACACACACACACGCACACATTCTGCACACCTCTCTCTCTCTCTCTCTCTCTCTCTCTCTCACCTAAACACACGCACGCAGGTCGCAGGCCAAATTCATATGCACAGCAAGATCGGAAATTGCATCCAACCACTGCTCAGAGACACCGCATAATCGAGTCGTGCTCCGCCGCCTGCCAAAGCCCTTCGTTGATCGCCGTCGGCCAGAGCCCTTCGTTGTTCGCCACCAGCCAGAGCACCACCGCAACCCCGCCGCCGGGAACGCCTATAACACGACAATCGATGCTTAATCGCGACACAGCCACCGCATCGGCATCCCGCCTCACACATCGCGAACAGCCAACCCCAGTAACTCGACATCCGCCGCTGCCGCCTCTACCTTCGTCGGCGCCACCTCGACCTCGGCCACTGAAACACTCCAATAATCTCTTTCTGTTTTTGTTTTCGTAACAAATTCATGATCTTGTATGAATCGTTGAACCTGGAATTGCGAAATCGACAATGAATTTCAGAAATTGTGGATGGATTGGTTGAATTCATTGATTTAGGGCTAGGGACCAGATTTTGTGAATTTGATAACTATGAAGGACTTATGTGCAATTCAGAAATATTAATTATTTTAAATTTAGTCCAAGTGGCAGATCTGTAATTTTCTCAATTTTGAGTATTTTTAATATAGTTCATGACTAAATATGCAATTTATATCAATATTCTCATAAATACGTATTAATAATAAATAAAATATACAATGTTTCAAAATTTTAATATATAAAAAATATTAAAATAATAAATATACATTTATAATAATAAATGACAAATAATTTTAACTATTTTGATTAATTCGATGCACAATTATATCTACTAAATATAGTTTTTAAAAACACATAATTTATATGTGATCGTATAAAGTAGTGCACTTTATATATCAACATGCCGCACTTTATAAAAGATCGAGTTGCACCTTATAAAACACCACATTGCACTTTATCACTACACTCCACAATTAACGTTAATAGTTTTCGACAAAATACCACACAAAATAAATCTAAAAAAATGAATCTACATAATATTTTAACATATGTCACATCATTTGTCCACATAAAACACAAACATGCTAACATACCAAAATTACAGTGCACTTTACACATAAGCACGTTGCACTTTATAAAACACGACGTTGCAATTTTTAAAACAAGATGTTGCACTTTATAAAACAACAAGCTATATTTTATAATCACACTCCACAATTAACGTTAATAGTTCCTGCCAAAATACCACATAAAATAAATCTAAAAAAATGAATCTACATAATATTTTAACATGCATGACATCATTTGTCCACATAAAACACAAGCATGCTAACATACCAAAATTACAGTAGTGCACTTTATAAAACAATACGTTGCACTTTATAAAATAACACCTTGCACTTTATCACGACTATAATATCGTACGAATAGAGAATGAAACCAACCGAACTAAATTTTTTATTTCAACCAAAAATAATAAATGAAATTATTAATATATTAGATATAATATTAATATAAATAATAAATTATTTCGATAATTTAGAATAATTCGGTTA